GGGTTTGGCAGGGGCTCCCGACAACCTTCTGTGGGACAAAACGGGGTGAAATGGCTGCGGGGGCCGTTGCCGGACGTCACGGGGCTGCGCTCGATTTCAGAAAGAGGAAGGGGACCGGCGCGCGACGTGGGAGAGGAACCTGCGACTGGTGACGCTTCATAATCTGGAGCACTCCCTGGGGCTGCACTCCTACGAGCTGGGCATGAACCACCTGGGGGACATGGTAGGTGCCGGCCGCGCCGCGAGGCTCAAGCATGGAGTTGTGTGTTTGGTCAAGGGGGATGAAACGCGCTGTGTTGGTGATGCCACAACCACGTCCCTGGAGGCTGCAAGGACAAACCTGGTCCTTTCGGTGGGGTGGGATGCACGGATGGATCCGCTCTCCTGTTGTAGAAAATAAACCTCAACACGTCACGAATGCCTCTGTGCTCCTTCCCACCAGACCAGCGAGGAAGTGGTGGCTTTGTTAACTGGGCTGCGCGTCGCTCCTCGGTCAAACCGGACCTCCACCTACCGGCCGCAGCCTGGCAGCAAGGTCCCGGACACGGTGGACTGGAGGGAGAAGGGATGCGTCACGGACGTCAAGAACCAGGTGTGAAGCCCTCTTTGTGCTTCTTCGTGTCTTGGTCCCGTGGGGCAGTGTCTGAGCATCTCTGGGGCTTTCGCAGGGCCCCTGTGGGTCGTGTTGGGCGTTCAGTGCCGTGGGAGCCCTGGAAGCCCAGGTGATGCTGAAGACGGGGAAGCTGGTGTCCCTGAGCGCCCAGAACCTCGTTGACTGCACCAGGAGCTACGGGAACAAAGGCTGCGGTGGCGGATGGAAAAACAAAGCGTTCCAGTACATCATCGACAACCGAGGGATCGACTCGGACGCGTCGTACCCCTACACGGCTAAGGTAGGCGTCGCACCTGGGCAACGCGGGGGCTGGCTCAGCGTAGGATGGAGGAAATTAAGTCCTGTTGCTCTTTAGAGGAAATCCACTTTGGAAAACCATGGAGTGGTCCGTATTTAATGCCGTGAGCATCGGTTCTGACTCACGTAACGCAGAGCAGGACTCCGTGCGAGATGTGATGCGTTCTCCCCCTGACCTTCGTTTGCCAGGACGGCACGTGCCAGTACAAGCCGGCAGCACGGGCAGCCACGTGTTCCCGGTACGTCGAGCTGCCGTATAGCGACGAAGCCGCGCTGAAGGATGCCGTCGCCAGCGTGGGGCCCGTCTCTGTCAGCATCGACGCCAGTCGGCCCACCTTCTTCCTGTACAAAGCTGGTGGGTCTTCTGGGGGATCACGAGAAAGGGCCGCGCTTCCCTTCCCGTGCCCAAACTTCCGCAAATACAAATTATTTCAGCTTTGACTCACGTTTTGCTCGTGTTGCCCCCGTTCCTGGCGACAGGCATCAGTGACGCCTCCCCAGGAGTGAATTTAGTTCCAGTTTGGGCGGTGACTTAGGGCCAGTTGTCCAAAGGCTGTTTCCAAATGCCTTCCAGGTATCTACTATGACCCGAGCTGCTCTCAGGTGGTGAATCACGCCGTGCTCGTCATCGGCTACGGCTCATCGCACGGGGAGGATTACTGGCTCGTGAAAAACAGGTACGGCCAACCCAGTCACCGAGCAGCTCTTCCTTCCAGCCTCCGCGCCGGGGGCACCCTGCAGGTTCCAAAGACGCACCAGCAAAGCGCTTTTTGGTGCCCATCAGCTTTCTTTGGGTCTGTTTCGGGCTCAGCTCCATCGCAACCCCGGTGTAAAGGGCCCTTCGTGAAGCCCTACAAACCCGAATCGACGTACGGCACCCCAGACGCTCCCGCCTGACTCCTCGGGGCTGGCTCCAAAAAAATGGGATTTGTGCTCTGGGGAAAACTCCAGGGTTTCCAGAGTTCCTGGATGCTGAGTCAGCGCAAAAGGCTGGTGGTTCTTGGCTGAGAAACCGCGCTGGTTTGGTTTGGGGACGCGCTGGCGAACGCCCTCCCTCGGCCAACTCGGAGGCGCAGCCTCCAGGGTCATTGCCACCGCATGGCCCCTCGCATGAAAAATGTACTCACAAACATGTTTTTCACTGCTCAAAATGCAGAACGAGAAGAAACAAAGTGTTGAAATGAGAGTCCTGCTCGGACAGACGCATCTCGGGAAAAATAAACCCCAAACCTGCGATGTCAGCAAAGCTACGTTCAGTAACTGAAACCATTATCTTTTTTAAAAACAACAGAAAAACCCAACTGTGGGCAGTTCTGTCAACAAAGCTCCTTTATCCTCACGTCGGGGCTGGGCTAAAACCCACCAGTTTCCTCCTCTGTCTCTCATCCCTGGCCTTGGTAGGATTTTTTTTAAAAAAATATGTATTTTTAATATACAAAACCAATTCATCTACCTTTATCTGGTGATTCTGACTCACTCCAGCACAGAGCAAATAAGTGATTTTCCTCTGCCTCCCCCTTTAGAAGAGTTAGCGGCAGCGAAACCTGGCAGGGAAGCAGTCAGGAGGTTCAGCCTTTTTGGCCAAAAGATGCGAATTTGGCCATTCCTGTGGCTATTTGGCCATTCCTGTGGCCACTGGGGAGGAAGCACGAGTTGGAAAAAGACTTAAGGGATGGGGAGAGAAGAAAGTGGGGGGCAGGAGTGGTGCGGAAGGAGGCGGTTACCCCCCCGCCTCGTTGTCTAACTTTTGCTTCTTTCTTCTTCCAAAAGTTGGGGGGTGCATTTTGGTGACCAGGGCTACATCCGGATGGCGAGGAACCGTGGCAACCACTGCGGCATTGCCAGCTACGGCGCTTACCCCCAGATCTAGGGGGGGTTTTCCCCGCTTCAGGACGAGCTCTCGAGACGCCACCGCTCACCCCGCTGACCTGGAGCCTGCCCCGCTCTATCCAGGCTTCCCTCCTGGAGGAATCCCGTCCCATTTTGACAGCGAAGCAGGAGGAATTAGGAGCCATCGCGGTTGGCTTGGCCAAGCGTCTCGTCAAGTACGGCCATCTCGTTCCCCATCCTCAGGAACTTATCCACTAATAAGGGATCATCTCTTGGGAGTTATTTCAGTTATTTAGGTGGAGGGCTCTCTGTTGTCACTGCCGCCTCTCGCAATCTCCGGCAGCTTTTTAGAAAATGACTCAGCTGCATCTTCAAAGCTCTTGAGACACTGTTTTGCTTCCTCCTTCTCTCTCAGAAGATGGTTTCTTGCAGCCATTTTATGTCCCGTGATGCTTTGTAGTGGTGAGAAACGCACTCTCCTGCCCGGCTGTCCTTCGTGGAAACCCGCAGAAGAGGCGGGAGCGTGATTTCCAGGCGGCCGGAGACTTTGCTGACCGCGTTTTTCAGCCTGACCGCAACGTAATGTGCATTAAATGCGTCTCGGGCTGTCCACGCAGCGCTGAGGCTGCCCAGCTCAGCTCCAGCCCATGACCGTATGTGATCCGTGTCTTCCCCTCTGTGCTACCCCACAGAAAAGTGAATAAATGTGATTTTTCTTTTTTTTTTTTTTTTCTAAAAGCCGGCTTTGGTCTGGTTGGTACACTGCTGAGGTGAGATGGGAGCTCAGGTCTACCCAGTCCAAACCAGTAGCAAGGCTCTGCGCTTGACCTCATCTTGTCTTTTAGCTCAGCACCAAGTCACGAAAATACAAAGATCTTATCAGGGAAGTGTGGCCCCTGCTCCTGCCCACTGGCCCCAAAAGCCACAGAAACCACTGGGAGAGCCTTGCCGTTAATTTTTGGGGTGCTGGAAAAAGGAAACTTTCTCAGCTGTGATCATTTTCTGATGGTATCGAGGGTCCTGCTCCAAACAGCCCCGTGACCGGCAAGGCAAGCCCAGTTCCCAGCTAAGTGAAAATGAAATCAGAGCATTTCCTCATTTCCTGACTCGTGATTTGTCCGACGACTTGCAGCCACCGTGTGCCGAAGGTCCTGGGCGTCCTGGCAGTGGGGACGCGCTGGATTTGTCCCCCTACTCCATACACGCGCGCTGCCGGCGAGCTGAGGGTCGGTACCCACCACCAGAAGAAGCCTTTTCAGGTACATTGGGTGCTTTTGTATTTTAACACCCCTCTGGGAGGACTGAGCTTTGAGGAAGTCAAACTGAAGGAACAATATTTTTATGTTGACTCTGGCTCCATCTTATCTCTCTTCTCCTCCGAGCCTTCTCTGGGTAGTTGAATCCTCCGTGGTAGCCCATCCTCAGGAGCTGGTGGACAGCAGATGGATGAAAATGGGATAATTTTTATTTTTTTTAGCTTTTTAAGGTGCGGGAAAATGCAGTTTTGTCAAAACAGCTGCTTGACCGGGCGATGTGTCAGCCTCCTTCGGGGAGGGTTTCTTGGTCAGGGTGGAATCGTGCGACGAGGCGTGTGTCTGGACGTGTCCCTGCGTGTCGGTGTCCGCACGGGCAGGGCTTGGGGCCAGCAGGCTTTTCCCCGTCCCGAGGGAAGTTTCTGAGTCCTGGATGGGATTTCTCTTCCCATCTCGCAGGGGCTGGGGGTACGCAGCAGGCGAGCGGGGCAGGCAGCGCTGCTGCGGGGTGCTTGTCCGGGCAGGCAGGACGGGAGGTGGTGGCATCACCTGGTGTAGAAACCCCACGAAGGGCATGCCAGGGAGTGCAGGTCAGGGATGTCATCACCCGTCTGCCGCCCTCACCAAACCGGATTTGTCACTAAGGGGTCAAGCACGGCTCCAGCTCTGAGCCCTCGCCTCCCAGCGTGTGTGCCCGTGTCGCTCCGGCTCCCCGGTCCCAGCCGAGCGGGATGAAGATGTTGGCGTCCATCGCCTTCCTGGCCACGCTTGCGGTGGCACTGGGACACCACGACCCCGCGCTGGACTGGCACTGGCAGCTCTGGAAGAAAACTTATGGCAAGGAGTACCGCCACGAGGTACGGGCATCTTGCGGGGGGCGTGGAGGAGTGTTGGGGTGCCGATGTGGTGAGTGCTGCTCCGGGGTGACCATCCGCCGCATCCCACGGCGGGGAGAAGAGCCGACAGGGCTTGGAAGCCCTGCTGGTTCCCAGGGGTGGTTTGGCAGGGGCTCCCGACAACCTTCTGTGGGACAAAACGGGGTGAAATGGCTGCGGGGGCCGTTGCCGGACGTCACGGGGCTGCGCTCGATTTCAGAAAGAGGAAGGGGACCGGCGCACGACGTGGGAGAGGAACCTGCGACTGGTGACGCTTCATAATCTGGAGCACTCCCTGGGGCTGCACTCCTACGAGCTGGGCATGAACCACCTGGGGGACATGGTAGGTGCCGGCCGTGCTGCCGAGAAGGGGGTCGTCTTTGTCTCTGAGTACACACGAGGTTGATTTAATAAAGAATATAAGTGGGTCAGGGGTGGAAAATCTCCCAACAAGCCTTCTCAGCCCATCCTCTTCTCATGGACTCCAGCAGCCGTGGACAAACTGCTCGGACGTTCCTGCGCTCAACCTACCGGCATGAGGCAATCTGGTGTGAGGAAATAACTCCTTAATGCAGCTTTTGGGGTGCGCGGACCTGGTCCTGGTCATTATATATATTTGCAAATCATCCCTCTTCAACGTCCCAAGGTTGGAGTGTTATTTAATGAACCATGACAGATTCTAGGGAGTTTCAGTGCTGGAGTTAAGCTTTGAGTTTTCTTTTTCTTGCCCTTTCCAATGAACGGCTAGAAATTAAATGTAAAAAATCAAAAGCCAAGGACTCCCCAAACCTGCTAACTCTTGCAGCTCAGACTGTTCAAGGGAAATCCCCCTCCACCTCCAACACATCCAGCATAGGACTTTCCAGAGACAAGGAGATCACGAGCCGGTCTTTTCTTTTCCCACCAGACCAGCGAGGAAGTGGCGGCTTTGTTAACTGGGCTGCGCGTCGCTCCTCGGTCAAACCGGACCTCCACCTACCGGCCGCAGCCTGGCAGCAAGGTCCCGGACACGGTGGACTGGAGGGAGAAGGGATGCGTCACGGACGTCAAGAACCAGGTGTGAAGCCCTCTTTGTGCTTCTTCGTGTCTTGGTCCCGTGGGGCAGTGTCTGAGCATCTCTGGGGCTTTCACAGGGCCCCTGTGGGTCGTGTTGGGCGTTCAGTGCCGTGGGAGCCCTGGAAGCCCAGGTGATGCTGAAGACGGGGAAGCTGGTGTCCCTGAGCGCCCAGAACCTCGTTGACTGCTCCATGATGTACGGGAACAAAGGCTGCAGTGGAGGTTTCATGACCAGTGCTTTCCAGTACATCATCGACAACGAAGGCATTGACTCGGATGATTCCTACCCCTACACGGCTCAGGTAGGCATCAGACCCGGACAGCACGTGAAGTCTGCAGAGAAACATGTGAGCGTGGAAGCAACACGGCCAGTCGTGCTGCCCTCCGGCGTAGACACCCTTCTCCTCCTCTCCCACTGATTTCCCTCTGTCTCGCTTTCTACCAGTCTGGTGTCATCTTCTCAGCCTTTGCAGCTGATTCTTTCAGACCCGGGGAAGGGACCTGTAAACTTTTCTTTCTCATAGTTGGATGATTGCACTGGGAGCCAGAATGTCTACATGGTTATTTCTGTCCGACATAAATTATTAGGCAACATCCTACGTGGAAGGGAAAAATGGGACAGGAGTCCTGGGTCCTGTTCTCAGCTCTCTGCATTATTCCATCTTCTGTAGTTGAAAATGGGATATCGATATTTCTGCCATTTGAGTGGGCAGAGGTTTCCGGTGAACAACGTTCATACAATTGTTTTGTTACAAGTTGCCTGTAACGGACGCTGCA